CCCAGTGCCACCCCCTGCCCTGGGCAGGGACACCTCCCACCACACCAGGTTGCTCCAAGCCCCCTCCAACCTGCCCTTGAACCCCTCCAGGGATGGGGCAGCCACAGCTTCTCTGGCCAACCTGGGCCAGGCTCTCACCACCCTCACCCCAAACAAGTTCTTCCCCACAGCTCAGCTCCATCCCCTCCTTTCAGTGTCCAACCCTTCCCCCTCCTCCTATAGCTCCCCTCCCTGATCAAGGCCTCCCTCACCTCTCCTATAGCCCCTTTGGGTATCTCCAGTGCCATGAAGCACGGAGGGGACAGCCTGTCCCTCACCACCCTTCCCACTACAGCTGGGCTTCCCACCCTGACAGTCGGTTTCAGCAGCCCCACACCTTCTGCTCCAGGCACAGGCTCCTCTGGAGGAGCCACAGCACAATTCCACAGGTAACCAACATCTGCTGGTACCCGAGTGAGACCAAAACCACTTCCAACCCCATACAGATGGGCATTTTTTTCCAAGAAGCAAACAGGCCCTCCTCCTATAGCTCCCCTCCCTGATCAAGGCCTCCCTCACCTCTCCTATAGCCCCTTTGGGTATCTCCAGTGCCATGAAGCACGGAGGGGACAGCCTGTCCCTCACCACCCTTCCCACTACAGCTGGGCTTCCCACCCTGACAGTCGGTTTCAGCAGCCCCACACCTTCTGCTCCAGGCACAGGCTCCTCTGGAGGAGCCACAGCACAATTCCACAGGTAACCAACATCTGCTGGTACCTGGGTGAGACCAAAACCACTTCCAACCCCATACAGATGGGAATTTCTTCCAAGAAGCAAACAGGGGAGTGTCTCCTATCACTGGGCTGACGGCCCATGCTGAATGAGTCCCAGACAGCAAACAAGAGAAAAATTAAGGCTGTTACAACATTTATACCACATAAACCAGCCATTATTTCTAATCATCGTCAACTGTTCTACAAGTTGCAGCTATTATAAGACTTTAATATTCCTTAAAGAAAGCACCAGTCTCTGAGAGGGGATTGTCCCCAACATCCACGCTACCAAACCCACAGGCAGGGCTTCCCCTGTGCAGACAGACTGACAGACCAACAGACCAGCAGACCAACCTCCCACCAGCTGAGTCACACAGACCCACTTCATCCCTACACCAGTTCCCCACACAGCTCTTCCATCTGGCACAGGCACAAGCAGAAACACAGATCGTTCTGGATCAGCGGCGTGGAAGAAGGCAGAGAAATCTTCTGGCCTTTCTACAGAATCACAGAATCTTCTAGGTTGGAAGGGACCTTAAAGATCATCTTGTCCAACCATCAACCTGACTGACAAAAATAGACACCCAAAACAGGAGGCTTTTTAATAATGCTTTTAAGATCTCTCTCTCTTAAAATTGCACATGAAACCTTCCATTAGAATTACCACACTGTTCCCTGAGGTGTGGATGGCACGTCACATAGCAGCCACTCTGGAATGGCACCTGTTCCTTAAAACACTCTCAAGAGTGAGAATCATACTGGTGACAAACATCTGATCCAAATGCCTATGAAAATATACACACGAGGAACTCAGTCTACCAAGATGACCGATTTTGAGTAATGTCTGCAGAGAAACAACAATGTCCAAGGCTCGGCCTAAGGTTCCTCAGGTCAGGAATACCCTGCTAAAAGACAAAACAGGAGTTTTCTTCGATTCCTGCAGTTTTTGAATATCTACTCATATCTTCATTGAATGCACATCCCTACATCCCTTTGAGAACCAGTTCCTGATGATCTTCAAAGCCACAGCCAGCCCCAGCTGGCTGCCAGGAGCCCAGCCTTGGTTCAAGGGCCCCACAACCAACCACGGACACAGCGACACGGCCTTGGCCCATTCCTCCTTCCGTAGCAGACACTGGCTGATGCCCTGGTGAGACCCAGAGCCCTGTTTGCGTGCTGAACCATCACCACGCAGAGAGAGAGGATAAAGTATAACAGAAACTGCCATTATTTCTAATCATCATAAACTATTTTTCCTGTAAACCTCAATCACCTAATTTAATCACTGTCTCTTCCTTGCGACTGAGGAAATCCAGCACAAATAAGGGAGGAAAATAATATACCTGAAACAGCACTAGATAATTAATAAGATTTGGCTTATCATTTGTCTTAATTACTTAAAACACAACCAGTTTAGTTTAAAGGTTTTGTCTCTCCTACATCAGGAAAGTCATTCATTTCCCTCTGTAAGGGAATACACACACAAATCAAATCACATGGGTCTAATAAAAAAGGCTAAGCTCCAAATTGCATTGCAGGACATGTTTTCAGGCCAGAAATAGTCACTTGAAGCTTCCTCTACCCATTCTCCAGGTTAAGGACCTCTTAAAAACGCTGACAGCAGAACAGCATCAATGTTCCAGGCTCAGGCCCACCTGTTGTACCCCGCAGTATCACACACCTCCATCCTCCCACCTCCTGCTCCTGCGTTACACAGACGGGGATCACAATGGATCCGGTGTCACAGCCGCAGCGCGGGCTGTTCCCTGCTCACCCCGACCTCGCTCCCTCCTCGGAGCTGCCACTGTCCCACTGCCAGCTGGAGGGAGCAGCCAGAGGAACAGCAAACTGCAAGGTTGGATCAAGCTCAGAAAATGGTATTAAAGGCTTTTCTTAAGCAGTCTCTTCGCAGTCTTGAAGAACCTGATAATTCTGCAGTGATTGTATTTGGAGAGAAATCATGAAAACACTGGAAGCTTCCTGGTAACCCAAAGAAAGCACCACCCACTCAAATTACAAGGCAATTAAGCTCCAATCTTTCTCTTAATTTGCACAAATCCCCCCTTTCCTCCACCAGGCTTCCAGGATGGCCAAATAAAGGCACATTTTTTCAGGTGTTCAGTAGCACAAAAGCTCACAGCAGCAGGAAAAAGTTGGGGCTGATCCCTCTCCTTCCTCCTCACACCCCCGTCATCACCTCCAGCACTGAGGCCCTTCCCTGAGCCTTCCCAGTACACGAGGGCAGCCAAAAATTAACTCATCAAACTATACAGATAGTTTTCCCTGTCGACTTAGCAAGCTGGAGAAGCTCAGGGGAGCAATGAGCAGGGGGTAGGACAAGAGCACTGCAGCCAGGCTGGTTCAGGCTACAAGGAGTCTCAGAACGACGTTCATTATCACTAAAATGATCTCAGCACTGCTGAAAGCACTGGGCTCCTGCTTCTGGCAACAAAAAGCAGAGAAAAAAAAGCTAGTCAAAACACAGAGATTTCTCCTGGGTCAGGTGCAAAGGGTGAGGTGAAGGAAACAAGGTGGAAGGAAGAAAGTGAGACCACATATCTGGAGTAGGGACAGAAGAAAAGCTCTTAACAAGAGAGAGAATGCAAAACATGATTTTTTTTTTCCCCCCTCAATTAATCAGCCACATTTGAGAGGTGGCACTTGAGTAGATCTGCTCACATGCAACGCACAGCTTATCACTGGGCCAAATTTCTCCCCACTGCTCTAACCTCCCCTGCTCTGCATCGCACCACTGCACCATCTGCTGATGCATCCACCAGACAAACCACAGCACAAAAAAACTATGAAAAAAAATATATTCCGTGAGATCTCACTGAATTGTTTGGCCAAGACAGAAGATCTCAGGCCGAAGCAGGCATTAATGAAAAACGTGACTTTCACAGGCTAATATCCAGCACAGCATGACTGAGCTGATGGCAAAGAGCAATCCTAACTGCATCCTGCAGCACTTGGAGATGGACACCTGGAAACAGAGGAGATGTGCAAGGCACTACAAAAAGTGATTTGACAGACAAAACTGCTCCTTCACATTTTGAGGCGGTTCTGGTCTCTTGCTGATGTTATATAAGCAATCACTGATAAGGCATTTTTTATTTTTCAAATAACTAATGGAATAAAATCACTGCACAACCCTTAAGGTGTGTGTTAACACAACACAATTTAGACCCCCACCACAGCACGGTGCTTGGCTGCTGCCCACAGGGCAGAGGAGTCTCTAGGGCTTCAGAGAGCCCTACAAACCTGCCCCATATCCCACTGCACCAAGGGGTCACCAGGGCCTCACAGCATCCTTAGGGGACTCTAAAATCCTGCCGCAGGCCCCATGGGATCCCACAATCCTGCCCCACATCCCAGAGCACCAAGGAGTCACCCCACTCACACAGCATCCTTAGAGTACCCTGCCCCACAACCCACAAGGACTGGGGTCACCACAGCCTCACAGCACCCCCAGGGCACCCTAAAATCCTGCCCTGCTTCTCATAGGGCCTGGGGGCCGCTGCAGCCTCACAGCACCCTCAGGGGACCCTAAATCCCAACAGCACCCAAAGATCACCAGGGCTTCATCGCACTCTTAGGGGACCCCAGGATCCTGCCCCGCACTCCATGGGGAAAAGGGTCACCCCAGCCTCATGATCCTCCTGAGGATGCCCTAGAAGCTCACTCCGCAGCACTGAGGGGTGACCCCAGCCTCACAGCAGGCCTAGGGCACCCTAAAATCCTGCCCTGCATCCCACAGGGCCACCCCAACCTCACAGCACCCTTGGGGAACCCTAAATCCTGCCTCACACCCACGGGGAAAGGGGTCACCCTGGCCTCACAGCGCTCCTGAGGGAACCCCACAATCCTGCCCCACACCATAAATCACCAAGAGGCCACCTCAGCCCCACGACACCCCTGGGGGGGGGGCCTAAAACTTTACCCCATAGGGACAGAGGCCACCACAGCACCCTCAGGGGTCCCCACACCGCTGAGGGGGGTCCCCACACCCTCACAGCACCTTCAGGGGTCCCCACAGCCTCACAGAAGTCCCCCCACCGCTGAGGGGAGGTCACCGCAGCTCCAAAGCGCCCCCAGGGGACCCCTCATCCGCCCAGGGCTGAACGACCACCCCGGCAGCGGGGCTGCGAGAAGCCACCGAACCGCCCCGGCGCCCAGCGAGGAGCAGAAGCGGAGGGGGGGAGGTAGCGGCAGGGCGGGAAGGATCCGTCCCCGTCCCCCCCTACTTACCCGCCCCGCCATCTTGCCGCTGCACCCGGCCCGCAGCGCCGCGC